CTGGGCTGGTGGCAGCGTCCCAGGAGGGCAGGCTCCCTCCCCCTCCCCCCTCCTCTTAGCCCAGCCCTGGGATTTGATGTCCTGGCTGTGATCCCTGGGCCCTGCTGGGACCCGGGAGGCGGCTGTCCCACTTGGACAGTGGAAGCAGAACAGGGGTTTTGTCCTCCACGAGAGCCTGTCTGTCGGCTGTTCACGGCCGGGCCTCGGCTGGGCTGGGCTGGGCTGGCACAGTGAAGCCTTGTTTCCTTGAATACAAAATCTGCCACTCTCCACCCAAGCCAGGGCCCCTGGCGGGTGCCACTTCCTTCCCTAGAGGTCCAGCTTCCTGGCCCCCCTCGGCCCTCCTAGCAGAGGGGCCTGGTGCCAGGAAAGGACTGGAAGGTTCAGTTCCCCTACTCTCCATCAGGGCACCCCTCCTCAAACTCGTCCCCAAACATCCTGTGTATCTGCAAATACTCCAGGACTTCCCAGCTGCGCCCCTTCTGACCAGACTGCTGCCTCCCAGGCCCTGCTCACTGTGGGGGTCTGGGTTCTCCCCAAACAGCTCCATCTTTTTTGGGGGACAGGGGTGCTGTGGAAGCCCAAGAGAAGGAGGCCCCTGGAGGAAAGGGGAAGCGGGGGCTGGCCGTGGGTACACGGAGAGGGAAATCAGCTGTGCGTGTGGAAGTGGGTGCTGGGGTAGTTTTCTGATGTGGCCGCAGGTGAGTCTAACAGGAAACTCAGTCGGGAAGAACGGGGGTTTGGGGGTCATAGACCTGGGATCAAATCTTGCCCTGACCCATTTTTCTACCTCTGTGGTCTCGGCAAGTTATTTAACTTATCTGATAAATAAGGAGACTCCCCACCCGAGCAAGGGTGATGAAGCCATCCCATGTCACGGGGCTGGAGGGTCCCAGGAATTCATCCCCGCCTCAGTGCCACTATCAATGCAGGGATCTCTGTGTCACCCAGGAGCTTCTGGACTTCCCCGGGGCAAATTCCACAAGGAAGTCACACAGCACCCTGGGGCCCAAGCAGTTCTCCAGCTGCTCTTCCTGAAATGGGGGAAACCCTGTCCTCCTGACCTGGCCAGCCTGGCCCTGGCTGGGAGGAAGCCTTAGAACGCCAACCAGGGCCTGAGTCAGAGGGGGGCTCCTAGTGCCCCAGACTTCCAGGCAGAGGTTTGGGGTGGGGTCAAGGACTTGATCTCTGGAAGAGTATGGGGTTTCTAGCCACCACCTGAGTCTGGGAACCAAAACCCTCTTCCCCTGTTTGGGGCCAAATGCAGAAGCTGCAGATGGAGTAGAGACGTGGGAGACGCCTTTCTCAAGCTGTGGCCCCGTGACACGGCCCTCCCTGGGCTTCCTGCTTGGTTTCTGGGCTGTGAGCTGCTGTGGCTGTGGCTGTCACTCCTCTGCCTGTTCAGGCCAGGTGGCGCCAGCCTTGTCACACCCCTGCCTCGGCCTTGGCCTGCCTGTGCTGGGTGGCTAGACCTCTTGTCCTTTCTGCCCAAGACTCAGCCTCCTGATGGTGCCACCCTCTTCTGGAAACGATGCCAGTCCAGTGCCTGTGGGCTGTTCCCTGTCCAGGAGCCAGGGCCCGGGGACAGGCATCAGAAGGTGGGGAAGGCTAACAAAGGCAGGGGGACGGGGCACCTTCACCTCTCCATGGGCACAAATATGGCTGGGGAGAGGGGCTGCCCATCTCAATCCCAACCGGGTGGACCCAGGGACAGGCCTGAGGAGGAACTGGCACTTTCCTCTCTAGTTCCTCCCCAGCAGTATTAAGTTTCGCTCTGTGGGGGGTGAAAGGCTGAGGCCAGGGGCCTGGGAGTGCCCGGCCAACCTGGTGCAGTGCAGCGTGGGATCATGGAATAAAGGGCAGGGGTACATCAGAGAGGACAGCCCCTCGCTGAATGGAGTGGGTGTGGGGCATTGGGGATCCCATGCGGGAGGGAAGGCTGGGTGGTGGGGGGCCTGGTGACAGCAGTGCTGGGTGCAGAGGGCCAGGAGGCCATGAGCAGGGTGGATCTGGGTGTGTAGAAAGAGGACTTTGCCTCCAGGGGGCTGCTTGGCGGCAGTTTGCACGCCCACAGAGTTGAGGACAGGGACTGAGGGGCCCCTTCCCAGGAAGACCACTTGAGGGCCAAAGATTTGGCACTTGGCTAACACATGGGGAAAGGGGTAGGGGTGGAAGGGCTGAGGAGTCTTTGGCCACAGTTTTCTAGAAAGATGCTGAATAACTCGAGGGGTGGGGGCGTCCCTTCCAGAACCCGTGTTGAGGCAGATCCGAATAAACAGAGGAAAAGACAGGACCCCAACAAAAGGGATGTGTCTGGCACCGTGCAGGACTGGCCTCCCTGGAGAGGCACGGGGTACTTATCTCTGACCAGCCGGTACGGGGTGGGGGTGGGGAAGCGAGTAGCTGGGATGAGGGGGGAGAAGGGAGGTCGCCAGGCCCTCCTTCTCCGTGTGTGTAGGTGTGGGTGGTGGGGGAAGAGTCAATCACCGGGTGCAGGGTCCCGTGGGTCCCGGGACCCTGTGCGGTGGCGGCGGCGGCGGGAGGGGGGATCGTGATTATCTGGGGAGCCCTGGGGCTCCCAGACCCGTGCGCGCGCCTGTGGTGCACCCGGGGAGGCATCACTACGAGGAGGGGTCACGTGCCAGGGGCCCCGGCGGTCCCCGGACCCCTATGCGTGGTGGGTGGCGGGTCTGGGAGCCTCGTCATGAGCTGGAAGGGCTGGAGTGCCCCAGCCTGGTGTGCCGGGGCCGGGGGCGCTGGGCTGGCGACGCGGGAAGGGGTCGGGGCTCGGGCCGAGGCCGGGTGGCGGGGGGCCGGGGCACTCACTGCTTGAACATCCTCTCCATGTCCTTGATCTGCTTCCTGGAGAACTCCTTGAACTCGGTGTAGGGGTTGAAGACGCGGCGGCTGGGCGACTGGGGCTCGCCGATGCCCTGGTTGAGGTCCGCGCGCCGCAGCAGCTTGGCGCTCAGCTCGTCGTCCGCGCTGCCCAGCGCCTCGGCCGCCTCCTCGGGCGCCCCCGCCGCCGCCCCGTTCAGGCCGGGCTGCTCCGCGGCCTCGTCGCCGCCCTCGCCGCCGCCCTCGCCCTCCATCTGCAGCCGCCGGCTCAGCTTGGTGGCCAGCTCGTCCGTGGCCATGGTGGCCCGCGCGGCGCTCGCCTCCGCCCGGCCGCTGCTCGCCGCGCGCCGCGCACCGCCGCCGGCCGCGCTCTTCCTCTTCCTGACACTCCCCGGCGCCAGGCGCCGCCCCCGAAGGTGGGACTTCGGGGACCGCCCGCGCCCCACCCTCGGCCCCGCCTCCCGCTCCCGGCCGCCGGGCTCCCGCCCCGCGCGGGGTTCCTCGGTCGCCGGGGCTCAAGGGGTCCCGGCTTCCGAGCCCGCCATCGTCGCCCCGGGTGAGGCCGGGGCGCCACGTGAAAAGCCCATCCTCCCTCTGCTCCCCCGCGCGGCATGTGAGCGGGGACCGCGGCGGGAAGGAAGAGGGGCTCGCCCGCAGTTTGGGTGTGAGTCCGGGGTTGGGGGCGCCGCCCGCAGGCTCTTCTCTGGAATCCCCTTTCCGTTAAGTCCAGGGTCTGTGACATCCTGTCGGTTGCCATGGAGACGATCGCGGTGCAACGCTGGCGTTCTCAGTGAGGATTGCGGGGTCTGGAGAGGCTGGCCCCGGGAGCAGGAGCCCAGCTTAGACGTGGCTGGAGCGGCTGGCCTCTTTCCAGAAAGGAGGGACCAGCAGGAGAGGGTCCTCCAAGACGGGAGAGGGGAAGGGAAGGGGCTGACCCCGTCCTCCTGGGCAGCACCATCACCACATGGATGACTTGGCAGAACAGCTGTGGGGCCAGGTTGTCACCTGTGACTCTACTTGGGTGGACTGACAATGATGGTGCCATTTTGATGAGGGCCCCCGAGGAGAGCTGTCTTTCCCAAAGACTCATGGGAAGGGGTCTGGGAACTCACAGAGTATCTACCTGGTCCTGTCTGTCACTTTAAAACTGCAAAGCTGGGGAGCTCCAGCCTCAGAAACCACAGTCACAGTCTCACTGGTTATAATACAGATTCCCAGGCTCCAATCCAGAAAAACCGCTCATCTCTGGGATGGAACCCAGGAGTCTGCATTTTAACAAGCACCCAGGTCAGTTCTACTCCCTGAAGTTTGAGAATCTCTGATCTAGTTGGAGGAAGGTACTCTGTAGGTGTTCTCTGAAACGTTCCACGGAGTCCTGGATGCAGCATCTGCGCCCATCAGCCAAGGTGCAGAGGAAGGATGGAGGCAGGGCCTGAGCACCCATGCTCTGGAGGCAGAGAGCACCTGAGCCAGAAAGCTGCTTCACAGTGGCTTGCACAGAAGACATTCAGTTGGCATTTGTGGAGTTCAGAAAATTACTGAATTGAAAGATATTTTAAAGGATGAAATTGAGAAAAGCACTTTCAGAGTTTAGAAAATGTGAGATTTTCATTCACTTGTCTGTGAGATTGTTTCCGAGTCCAGTAAAGGCGCTCAGCCTAAATGGTTTTATTTTCTTAAAGCTCAGAATTAAGTTTCTGTTCTTCTTGGGCAGTTTGGTCCAGGCAGTCTCCCTTTCTCCCTTTGCAGTCTTGAGGAACCCAATGGAAGAAAAATAGTTCACTTAATGAATGCAAAGGACCGGGGCAGGGTATAGATTGGCATGTTTACAGTTAGGTCTGTAGATGTTTAGGTTTGCTAAATTCTTGGTCTTCCTCCCAAAGCAGCTAATTACTTTGAAAACTCTGGCAAGCCTCCACTTGCCCCATCTCATGATTTCTAACGATTCTGCATGAAGCAGGACTGTTTTATTATGGGATGTTTTGCATCTGTTTGACACAGGAACAAACTTATTTAGAGTGTAGAGATTACGTGAAGGGATTGCTTTCTTGAAAAAACAACTTATATAGATGCAATAAACCTGGGGTTTTGGTTGGGGTTGTTTGGCCTGGCTGTGTCTCTTCAACTTTGTGGTCAATTTCCCATCTGACTTGTGTGGACACAGCCCTAGGGAGGCAGGGCAGGCACCAGGATTTGGAGGTAGGGGAAATTCCTTTTCATTTCCTGTTGCATCTTAAAAGAGGAGCTGATCACCAGAGCCTTGGTATGTTAAATTCAGAGCTCAGGAAATGCTGCCTGGAATGGAAGAGCCCTTTAACACCTCTTGGGCTGCTTTTCCTCAGAGCTGTCAGGGTTTGCAGAGCATGGAGTTCCAGCTGCCTGCTGCTGTGACCATCTCCAGGAGGCCTTGGGCTCGGGCCCTGCCTGTGGCTGATCTGACCCAAAGCCAGAGATGCAGCCCAAGGGCATCATTTCATCTGAACTTTCCCCTTCCGAGGTCATCACACTTCAGGAAAAGGACTCCCCGCCAGCCCCCTTCACCCCCTAAAACCAAAGGGGAGAAAAGCCAAGTGTGGGCTCTGTGTGGAGACGGAACCTGCAGGAAACATCACTTGCCTCTTTATTAGGGGAAGTCATTTGGAACGACTCTGAGTATTGTGCCCCAAGCATGGGTTCTGGCAGAGAGAAGGGATCTGCACTGGTGACACATTGCAGCGTTTGGTCATGCGGAAAGAATGATCTTCAGGAAAAATCACACCCTCGGCAAAGGACTTTTCCAGAGGCAGGGGTGAGTGAGAGCCAGTTTTGAAGTTCCAGCATCAGGGAGGAGGCCACTGAGTCATTGCTGACTCGGGCTCTCTCCTTCCTCCCACATCGACTTGTGTAACCGTCTTTTGGGGGGGGGTGAAGGAATGTTAAGAAAAACAACAGCATTTTGAAAAGAGGTGGGGGGAGAAGCAAGAAGGAGAGAAAAGGGTTGGGAAAGGCCCTTGGGCCTAGGGGAGGTGGCACGGACACTGGGGTGCATTCCGGAGCCTGGCAGCCCTGGGTGGTCCCTCCAGCCCAAGATGCTGGGGAAGCAAGAGGGGTCTGGGGAGGCTGTTGGAGATAAAGCCGGCTCATAAAAGGCGCAGGGGCTTCCTGCTTGACAACCACCAGTGTGCTAACGAATCAGTGTACTCTGCACTCAGCAGGAAGCCCGTGATGGATTGAGGAGATGCTCAGAGGTCAGGGTTCAGGGACAACACTAATACTCACTTGCAGCAGTTGGGGTAAGGGCAGAGGAAGGAGTCCAAGGCTGGTTGGCCTCAGAGGCTTTCTTATCTCTTGAAAATCTGGAAGCCAGGCAAAGGGTGCAATGAGGATCAGCTGGTATCAGGGGCATGATGCCACCCCTGGGTGGGTGGGGGAGAAAAGGTTATGGGGGGGTCAACGACTGCTGGTAGAAGCCTTGTCTACAGCTGCCTTTGGGGTGATCTTGGATACTATGAATTATATTTGAGACCCTCCATGGTCTTTCAGATTAGTTCCATATAGCCAGCTGGTCACTGGCGGGTCCAAGTGATGGGCAGATCAGTGTCTAACACTCGAATGGGCTGGAGAGTATGCATGTGAGCAGGTGTGTGTGTGTGCATGTGTTAGTGTGTGTGTGTAGTTGTGTGTGTAGGTGTGTGCTCAGGTGTGTGTGTGCAGGTGTGTGTACAGGTGTATACAGGTGTGTGTGTGCTCAGGTGTGTGTGCGCAGGTGTGTGTGTGTGTTCATGTATGGGGGGTACCTTAAAATCCAGTGATGCTGCTTCTGCAGTGTCCCCTGGACCCCTTCCTAGCTGATGCTAATATGGGCGGCTGATCGTGGCTTTTCCTCTGGTGGCAGCTACTCTGAGAAGCAGCAGCGCTCGCGCTCTCTCCAGGCAATCAAGACACATTGTGTTGGGCACTGGGCGCTGGTCTTGGAACATTCTTGGTTGTAGGCAAGCAGGGGAGGGCAGGCCTCCCCGCTGAAGTGTGAGATTTATTGGACCCCCCGCTGCGTGACCGAGAGGCTCTAACTCTTCCAGGGAAGCCCCCTGTGGTCTCTGATGCCCCACACCATGCGGCTTCCTGGTTCCACTGCCATCCGTGGCGCCCACATGGTGCCTGGCCTGAAGTCAGTGCGGGGAAATGTTTGTCCTGGAGGGCCTGAGCTGCCTCAGCGCCGGGGACAGAGTGGGTGTTCTTTTCAGCGTCCCCTCCAGAGCATCGGGTGGCCCATTTTTAGGTCTCAAGGTCATTGCCAAGAAAGAGAAGCTGTTAAAGTGACACTTTTGTGCACCCACATGACTCAACAAAAAGGTTAACAGAAGCTCTTAAAATACAATCCTCTCAAATGTCTGTTCTCTGTGTCCTCTGAGGAAGTGACAGACAGTGGTATCAGATAGGGGTTGGGGCTGTGTGACCTGCTGGTCCTTGGGTATCACTGTGCCTCAGAGGTCATTTAAGCGCTCTGTTCTCAGCAGACAGGACGGAGGAGGAGTATACGGAAGGCACTGGTAAACACTGGGACCTGAGATCTGGGGACATTGAAAGGGACACTGTAAGACTAACCACAGTGGGTCCATGCAGAGAAAGGCAGAGTCAGGGGAGAGAACTAGCCTGGTGCCTCGGCAGACACCTGAGCTCAGGTATCAACTAGAGGAAGCAGGTGACGCCCAGAGGGTGCCCGTGGAAAGAGCTGGGTAGTGGAGGCCCATCCCCTTGGCTCAGGCTGGGGGAGCCAGGTCTTCTGGCCACAGGCTCAGCTCCCCGCCGTGTGGATGCAGTTCTGAAGTCGGGACAGCGTGGCCGGTGTTAGGAGCTGGCTGGGCAATCCCGGCCCACAGGTTACTGTGCCTCTCTGGCCTTGTCTCGTCTGTACCCTAGAAGTCCTCTCTCCTCCCGGACTACTTGGGAGACTTAGATAAGAAAGCGTATGTGAAGTGCTTAGAGCAGCTCACGGCACACGGGAAAACCGAACCTGCTCTCCATGGTGGGGACAGTGATCATTTGACTTCCTGCAAGCAGCATGCAGGTGTTCATCATCTAGTCAGCTGAACACAGGGTTGGCAAATCTGGCTCACTGCCTGTTTTTATAAATAAAGTTTTATTGGAACATAGCCATGCTTATTCATTTACCCATCATCCTCCATGGCAGAGCTGAGCAGAGGCAACAGAGACCCTACGGTGACAAAGCAAAATGGCCTCTTATTAGAAAACAGGCTTTTGTTATTTGTCCCTTTATAGAAAAAGTGCCGTCCCCACTTTCACTGATGACTAGAAAACCAGCAGGTTCGTAGAATTTGCTGAGAAAGACGATACATTGGAGCAGTTAAGGGAAAGAAGTCTGGACGCTGATCCCTGCACTGTGACCTTGGGCAAGTTACCTACCTACTCTGGACTTGTCATTCCATAGGCAAAACTGCAGTGATACATGTAGTATTAAGTGGGATCCTGTCAGCACAGGGTCTGATGCTGGCAAAAGCAATATAAAAAGTAGCTACTATTGTTAGTTATTAAGTGTCAACTGCCAGAAGGCACAGAGAAACTCCCAGAAGAGGGTCATCGCTGCCTACAGCTCTCTTTAGAGAACACCCAGCAGTGAGCCTGTTCAAAGCCAAAATATATGTGAATGTCAAAACTGAGCTCTAGCTTGCGACACACCCAGTACCGATTCCAACTCCCTTTCCGTTGAAGCAGTAGATCAGAACAGGAAAGGGGGAGCCAAGGTCAAGGCCACAGCATCTAGCACAGTAGCATCAGTGCCTGGCACATAGTAGGCACCCAGTATTCACTGCCTGAAAGAACGGAGGCTGGATATTTAACTGTAGAGGTGATTTGCCTGTCAAAGAGCCCCTTTGATCTCTGCTGAGACCACAGTTAGTCGGAAGAAAAAATGTCTGCTGCCAGTATTTTAGGGTCTGAGGGAGGAAAGCGGTGTGCCAGAGATGAGAGGAAACGAAAACGAGCAAGCCGCCAAGGCTTCCGTTGCAGGACGGAGGCAGTGCAATAGATTCCTGGGGAACAGATGGGCAGAGAAAAATATTTTAAAGGCAGAAACAGGCTCACAAGGTCATGAGACGGCCCAAAATAACTGGGGACACCGAGCAGACAGATGCAGGCGGTGCATCTTGATGGAATCGAGGCCAAGTTGATAAGCGAGATAGTCTCCCCTCACCGGGCGCCCCACCTCCTGCCCGGGAGGCCTCTGCATGAAAAAGAGGGGCTTCAGCAGGTATGGGGCTTCCTCTGATCCTTCCCATAGTGCTCGGATTCCCCAAGTCCCTAAAACATTGGAAACCACTGCATTTCCCGGGAGCACGTTTGGGAACGCAGATCCAGGAGCTATTTTTTCCCCCAGACATTTCATGACTCTAGTTTCTGCAACAACAGGCACCGGCGATGCTGCCAAGCTGCCGGAGAAGGGCACCTTATCGTCACAGTCACGACTCCAAGAACCCGAACCGGTTACCGTTGGCAAGGGCGGAAGGAAGTCCTTTGTGGTAGCTTCTTGGAGGAGCAGAGGAAGATCCGGGATTTCGAGGGATCCTCTTTGAGGTACCTTGTTGTACCTTGGTCTGCGCCCTCTCCCCATAGAGAGGTTGCCAGGGGCTATTCAGAACCACCAGTGGGGACTGTGCAGCAGTGTCACAGTGAAGGCTGCAAATAGCATTCACTCCACCAGTGGACACCCAGAGGAGCATGTGTGGGGGGAGGAAAAGCAGGTCCCTGAGTACCCAAGCCAGACTCTTTTTTGCTTAGGCTTCCTCATTTCTTTGCAATAACAAACTAATTCCCTTTCTGCCTATGGGCCACAGGAAGTTTCTGTTGTTTGCAATTCAGAAATCTTGTGTGATACAAAGGGTCTTAGTGGAACCCAAGGGCAGGCATTGGAACTGCCTTCACAAGGAAGGGAACTAGGAACCGGCAAGTCATTGGAAATCAAGGTAGCTTTCTCCTCCTGTGTCGGCTGGGAACATATTCAGCTTCCAATAACAGAAACTGGATGTGGGCAGATTGTAAAGCTCCAGATCCCCACTCACATCAACCCTGGCTTTGACTGACGAGGTATAAACAAACACAAGGCAGGTAGAGACTTGAAGGCTGCTTGTGCATCGGGGCTGGATCTCACTGCCATGTCTGGGGACCTGTGACCACTGCCGCACGAGCGAGCCCCGTCTGGCTTGCTGGTGGTGACCAGCTTGCTGAGCTAAGACACGCTGTTGCAGCTGGAGGCCCCTCTCACGGGGTTTCTCAACCTCACTACTACTGACATTCGAGAGGAAGGGATTCTTTGTGGTGGGGTGTTGTTCTGTGCCTTTTTTTTTTTTAAATCCCATAGATAATAGTAGCACCCTCCTGCCCCAGAGGTGATAATCAAAAATTATACCCAGACATTGTCAAACGTCTCCTGGAGCAGGGGCTGTCTACCTCGCCCCTCCTCGAGATTACTGACCTAACCCATTTGTCCGCCAGTGCCCAGGCATGAGAACAAGGCCACCCTGAACCATCCAGCTCCAGCCAAGCCATCCTAGATGGCAGAAGTGCCCAGCTTGATCCATGGACTCATGAGAAATAATATTTGTCATTCTGGGTCAATAAGTTTGGGGTGTTTTGTTGCCCAGCACAAACGCTCCCAGGTGACTCGGTGGCTTCAACTGGAGGGGCCTATCTGTCCTACAGTACAAATACAGAGGTGAGCAGTTCTGCATTCTTGGATGCCGCCAGGCACCCCTTGCTCTTGTCTTTCCGGTCTATTCTCCTTGTTAGGGGAGCTCTGGCTGCTGCTGCTGCTTCTTTTTTTTTTTTTTTTTTTGGTACCGGGTATTGAACTCAGGGACACTCGACCACTGAGCCACATCCCCAGCCCTATTTTGTATTTTATTTAGAGACAGGGTCTCACTGAGTTTCATAGGGCCTCTCCATTGCTGAGGCTGGCTTTGAACTCACGATCCTCCTTTCTCAGCCTCCTGAGCCGCAGGCGTGTGCCACCAAGCCTTGCTGGCTTCTTGCTTTTTATCTGATGATCCCCAAGACAGTTTGCTCTTGCACCGAACCTGAGCCCCAGGAACAAAACGGGGCCGGGGGCAAAGGGGCAAAGCTTTCTCCAAGGGAAGCCCTCCTGGGGCTTTCCTTTATGTCCTGGGCAGAGGTCACACTGCGGCCTTGCTAGCTGCAAGGGAGGCGGGGAAATCCAGGGCGCAGCATTCAGCCTCTGAGGCAGGATACGCTCTTGGCGCCCCCTGGTGCCTGCAGCACCCGCTGGCTCTGGGGCTCCGGGTTCCTGGTCTCTCTACTCTTTGCAGCTCCGACCTTCTGTTTCTGAACACCTTGCTACAGGAAAGGCCCTCGCCAGCCCTGGAGCGGCACCTTCTCTCTCTGCCCCAGCTCCACCACTGTCCTGAATGGCACCCTAAGGGCAGAGATGCTGATTGGCCCGGCTGGAATTAGGAGGGAAATCGGATTGGCCTGGCTTGGGTTGGGTAACTACCACCCAGCCAATCAGCGACGGCCAAGGGAGCCGCTCAGGGGAGGGAGGGGCGGGGCCGAGGAGAAGCCGCCTCCTTGGAGGAGTCAGGAGAATAAATTGCCCCTGGGAGGTGAAGTTGATAGGCTAAACCTTAACTCGTCCCTTGGAAAGACAGTATGGGGATTCGTAAAGCCATTGTAGGTAAAATATACCTGTTCAGCAAACAGTGGATTTTTCACACAATTTGGATCTCAAACTTGCACCAGCTGCTTAGCCAAGCGATCTGTTCTGGTGCTAGAGAAAAACTTTCTTTGGACTTTGGAGATGAGGTGCGGTTTTCATACTACCAGAGTCTTCTTCCGGTTTCTAGAATTTTCACCTTTTCAAGGTCACTGTCTTTAGATCCCGCCCTCTGTAAGATGTGCCTTCTGGGGGAGATCACATAAAGAGTTTATGGATTTCCCCTGAGGGGTGTGTGTGTGTGGTGCTGGGAATTGAACCCAGGGCCTTGGGCATGAGAGGCAAGCACCCTACCCATTGAGCTGTATCCCCCTCCCTCCCCTGAGTTTTAATTGGTATTAATAAGACACTTGGTTTTAAAACATAAAAAATATTTTTATTGTAGATCTATAGAATCAATCCTACTCATGACTTCTGGTTCTTCCCCTTCCCCCAACACAAGGAAAGCGGTGAGAGGACAGGTGGACAGAGAGAAAGCAGGCCATGGGAGAAGCAGAGACGGAGCCTGGGCAAGGAGGGTCCCTCCCAACACCAGGCGAGGGCGGTGCGGCCTCCTGGGCAGTGTGTGTTCTCTGGGAACTTGGTCTGTCCTTGTGGTCTGGGACTGGAACCACTGGGCCATCTCGGTGTGGCAGAATGGACAGGATGAGATGGAATTAGAAATTCGGGTTCAAGACCAGTTCCTGAATTTAAAGCTGTGGGATTCTAGGCAGGTCTTTGAACCCCCATTGGTCAGCTTCTCAGCTACAAAACAGGGAGCACAATATTCTTGACCTCCTTGGGCCCAGGAAGGATTTAAAAAGAGTTTTGAAAATTGCAGAGAGTGCCATAGGAATGTTAGTTGTTATTATGGAAGCAATTAAACTGATGGGCATTCTAAATTTATTACAATAAAGTCAGCTCAATTCCCTATGGCCTGGCCCAAGAGCCCTGAGCTTCCCCTTCTGCCTGACTCCAGTGACAGTCTTGGATTTTCTCCACTATGGGTCTCCCAGAGCTCCTTTGGGGTGTGATGTCATGACTCAAATGTGAAACTGGGAAATTGTGCATACCAGACTGAGGAGTCTAGGTTACAAACATACTTTCACATACCTGAGTTTGTACATATTCATAGTTATTAAAAAAAAAGAACCCCTGTTCCCCCCTACACACTCTCAAATACATACTGTGCAAAATACCAGTCTAGAAAGTCCTACATAAAACGTCTTAATATTTTGACATGGAGGAGTCAAACCGACTCACGGAGAATCACATGAGTCTGGGTGAGACGACATTGCTCTAGTTCCTTCCACCAGGCTTAGAAAACAACAGGCTCTGGCTGGATTTGCTGGATGTCTCTTTTTTCATCTCTCTTTCTTGGTCCATCTTTGAGGTGGCTTTTTTGGCTCCAACCTTCAACAAGCAAGAGGCACAAACTCTATAATTGCTGTGAGATCCCAACATGTTCCACCCAAATGGTTTCATTTGATTTGGTAACCAAAAGAAAATGTCACGCGCACACACACACACACACACACACACACACAGAGATCAGAGCAAGGAGGAGATAAAATGGCTCATCATTATCGCACTATCCATTGACAAGCTGCATTACTGTTTGGGGTGTGCCCTTCCAGCAACAGCTGTGGCTGGCCCCTTTTACATCCTTGTTTCGTGGTCTGGAAACCAGGAACTGTGTATGGTGAACACATTCGCGGTGATGCAGTCTCTCTCTATGGGCTCCTACTGAATGAAAGGTGTCTTCCATCTGAAGGTTTGGAAGGACAGCGTGCAGACTGCTCAGGGGATCACCCTGTCCTGGAAGGAGCATCCGGACAGTCACCATCTGACTCTGCTCCCAGGTCTTACTTAGTTGCTTGATCCCTTGTCACAGCTGGGCTTTTTGGAAGATCCTTCCCAGGACTTGGGGTTGTGGGCTCTGATATGCTATTCACCCCCTTCCTGTCACATGGCTGGGGACAAAGCCATCAGAGGCCTGGAGGGGCACAGAGGACCAGAGGGGTGTGTGTGTGTGTGTGTGTGTGTGTGTGTGTGTGTGTGCGTACGTGCATGCGCTAAGTTCTTTTCACTTTAGGACAGGTTTAAAAGTCCCCTTCTGAGACCCGGGCCAGTGGCAGAGGGCCTGGAATGCCATTTGAGAACCTGCCTTCATCATGTTGGGCGCGGTGGCACACGCCTGTAATCCCAGCGGCTCGGGAGGCTGAGGCAGGAGGATCACAGGTTCAAAGCCAGCCTCAGCAACAGCGAGGAGCTAAGCAACTCAGTGAGACCCTGTCTCTAAACAGAAAATAGGGCTGGGGATGTGGATCACTGGTCGAGTGCCCCTGAATTCAATCCCTGGTACAGCACCCCCCACGCCAAAAAAAGGCTGAGAACTCTCCAGTAGCCCTCCAAATAAATATTGGTTTGAATGACCTGGGGGGGGGGATGTCTCCGCACAGCCTGCCCTTCGATTTTCAATAAAATTGCTTGTCTGCGAATGGTTTTCGAATGCCCAAGCCCTGATGGGGGGTGCAAGGTTGGCTGCGGGACCCAGAAAGTTTGTTAAAAATAGTCCCATGGGCTGGGATTGTGGCTCAGCGGTAGAGCGTCACCTAGCACAGGCGGGACCGGGTTTGATCCTCAGCACCACATTAAAAAAATAAAGGCATTGTGTTAAAAAATAGTCTCAGGTCCTGTCAGTCTCCACCCCCAGATCTGCCAACCGCCTGAGGCAGAAGGACCAAGGAAGAGTCTCTCTGCAGTGTGACAGGGAGGGGCAGCAGAAGGCAGACTGGGTGACCTGACCCACCCTGGAAGAGGTGGTGGCTGGGGCCTGTGAACCTGTGTGGGGGGGTGGAGGGCAGGGGTGGGAGTGGGGCCCCTGGCAGAGCCCAGCCTGGAGAGAGGCCAGAGCACCACCATCCCCTGCTGAGGTTTTGGGAACCACAAGACTCCCCCTGAGGACCAGGCTTTAAACAGTGACACCCAGGGTGGAAACCCACTCAGGATGCACGGGGTGGCTGTTCTGGAAAACCACAGGCCTGGGCTCTAGCGAGCTCCCTGCCTATCCTGCAGCCTTCTGGTCGCGGCCCTTGGACACTGAAATAGGATCCTGGGCTCAGCCCTCGGCCTTGCCCTCAGAGCACCTTGCCCACAAGTCTCTATCTAAGTGGTGCTTGTTTTGACCTTTAAAAAAAAAACGGTTCCAGGCTGGAAGCCAGAGGGGCGTGGATTTTTATGTTTTCATTCTTCTAGAGCTATGTTTCTCAACCTTTGCCATTATCTGTCCCTCCCCTGTGGATGGTTTTTGCTAATCCCTCCCACTCTATGAAATTTTAATATCACAGATAGCACTATGCGTGCGGGCATGTGTCCCGCCGCCCCCCCTGCGCACACACGTTGAGTAATCCTCAACCCAGAGTTTGGGACCGATGTGTTTCAGGTTTTAGATTTTCCCTAGTTTTAGAATAGTTGCGTACCCAATGAGATATCTTGGGGATGAGACCCAAGTTTGAATACCAGATTCATTTATGATTCATATATACCTTGCACACAGGCATAGAAGATAATCGATGCAACATTTTAAATATTTTGTGCAGGAAACAGTTTCATAGTGTGGAATTTCCCACTTGCGGCATTACATCAGCACTCAAAATGCTTTGGATTTTGGAACATTTTGAGTTTGGGACTTTCAGATCCGGGACACTCAACCTGTGTGTGTGTGTATTTGTGCTTTATGTGTAAAGAATAAACGTTGGCGGAGTGTTGTGGCACATGCCTGTAATCCCAGAAACTCAGGAGGTTGAAGCAGGAGGATCGCAAATTCAAGACCAGCCTTAGCAACTTAGTGAGGCTCTGTCTCAATAAAAAGGGCTGGGTGCTGGGACTGTCGCTCAGCAGTAGAGCACTTGCCTAGCACGCGTGAGGCACTAGGTCCGATCCTCGGCACCACACAAACAAAGGCATTCTGTCCATCTACAATCACAAAAAAATTTTTAAAAATTAAATAAACAGGGCTGGGACGTGGATCAGTGGTAAAGCACCCCTGGATTTAATTCCTGGTCGGAAAAATAATGTTGACTCCCTTGGGGGGACACTGCCCCCCCCCACCCCGCATGATTGTCCTGGACACATGGTCGGCAGCTGCCACATCACGGGCTCTCAGTAGGTGTCTGTCGAATGGATGAGGGACAGGACAGCACCTCTCTTTGTTCCCTTTCCTCTCCCCTGTGCCCAGCACCCTGCCTAGCCTTAACTGGGTCCTCAATCAATTTCTGGGTTTTTCTAGAAGACTAGAAACTCGATTTTCCTCTTTGGCATACAACCCGCACACAATTATAAAAGATTGTTAGCTGTAGGGAAAACAATTTAATGAATGGCATTGTGAAAGACAAACCAGAAGCCACGGGGCCTGGACAGAAAGGTCCAGAAGCTTGCTAGCGAGGGAGCCTGTGATGAGTGGGCCAGTTGGAGGGGTGGGTCTCACAGGGCCTGTCTTTTCTGATGTGGTCATGTGGACTCCATCGCCTCAGGGCTCCAGGCCACCCACGCTTTGCAAGGAACCCGAAGACACCTTTCTGCACCATGGAGATCTAGACACGAGGCCCGGCGTCCCTGGCAGGAGGGCTGGAGGATGGGACGCTCATCTGCACCTAGTGCGAGCGCAAGCTGCTCCCGGCTCCTGACCCTGAGGCGGCCTTCACAGCTCAGAGCTGGACGGTCCTGCGGCTTCAGGGCCGGCCCCACTGCTCAAGGAAGCCTTCTGCCTTATCTCAAGGTGTCCGCCTGCCCGGGGTTTGTCCTGTGTGTGGATGAGCAAGTTTCCAGCCTCCCTCTGTCCCACTTTGCAGGGTAGCACAGTTCTCGGAACTAGGGGGACCCTTGGGACGCTCTCTGTCCTGACATCTGCTCTGAGCGGTAGCTACCTTCCTGTCTTAGGACAAGGGGATCGAGAACAGGCTTCTGCTCTTACATGGAGGATTTTACCGTCTCAGCATAACTGTGGTCTTTTGTCAAACTCGAACATATTTCCTCTCTCGTGTTCAAGGGAAAGGTGCTGATCTCCCCGCGAGCTGGCTTCTGCCGTGCAAGGCGGGCATCTGGCTGGGGCAGCATCAAGGCCGAATCGTGAAAGGTAACGGTTCAGATTTCACAGCCTTGATCCTCAGCTCTCAAGAAAAGGGCATTCTGGAGGGCACCTCCTTGAAAGTGAAGACACACGCCGCCCAGATGGGGTCAGCGATCGCTTGGATGGAGCACCTGAAGCAGGGCCAGAATCTCTGACCTGTGTCAGACCTGCGGCGGGCGCCGTCGGGGGCTCTGGAGGACCAGGCTCTGCAGCAGGCACCTCATCTTAAGTGGGACAGTAACAATGCCCGTCCACAGGGTGTTGTGGAGTTTCAGTGAGACGAGCCATGGCCTGTGCCTGGCTCCATGCCTGGCACACAGTAGGTGCCTGGTTCAGCACATGGGCTGTTGCTGTCACCTGTTGCTGTCACCCTGCTGCTGACCCACTGTTTCTTCTCTTTCCGGCTCACCTGGAAACCTGAACTCTGCCTTGTGTCCTTCACCATCTCTAGAAACGCCCGTCTCTTCAACACGGAGAGAACAGGGCCACCTGACACTTAGGTTCACCTCTCTGCTTTTTGTCGCCTCAAAGAAAATGGGTTCTTCTCAACTTTTAGAGTCCGTTTGGGATGCTGGGGCTTCCCTGGCCAGGGGGTGAGGACGACGCCTCCTGGGAGGGGTGTGCCTGGGGACAATGGTCCACCACCCCCGACAGCCTCCTGGGGATGTCTGTTCAGATTCCAGCTAGGAGGGGGCTGGTCGGCCAGGCTCCCCACAGAACCCCGCACTCTCCTCAGGGACCAATCTGCTGCAGCTGGTGGCGGAGCCTCCCCAGAGCAGGGCTGGACGTCCCGGGGGCGGGGGGTCTCTCCTAAACATCCCCGTGGTGTAGGTGCCAGGAACTGTCAGGGACCACAGCCTGTTTGGAAGCCATCACCCCAACTCTGCGGCTTGCTATTTCCTTGGGGTTTGATTTGCAGTTGCTGACCCTGGGGTCCTCAAGACCCTGCACCTCAGGGGCAATGCCCAGAGGAAGGAGACTCCCGAGGAGCTGAGGACACGACAGTGCGCCAGCTGGGCCTCCCTTTCAGGTGGTGGCGGGTGAACAGATGGAGGCACCTGGGGAGGAAGTTCCAAGAGCCCCGGGCTCACCCGGGGGTCACCAACCCGATGCTTCCAGGGGCCAGCGGTGCAAAAGAAGGGGGTCAGGTGGGGGAGGCAGCAAACCCAGGAGCAGCCTGTGTCCTTTCTAAGAGGCCTGGGAGATGGTGACTTGGGAGGTTGGTCACCACCATCTTCCAAGTTCCTCAGAGAGGCCAGAGATCCACACTATTCTGTGGAAGGGCCCTATTTTGAGATGTGACTAAAAACAAAACCACAGACCAAAAAACCCAAACCAACCAAAAACCCACCCAAACTAGAAAACACCCCGTGAGCCAAGAGGAGTGCGCCTGTGGCTGCCAAGGGCGACAGCGACCGCGAGCCCCTCCCCTTGGCCACCATCGGGGCCCAGGAAGCACTTGTTGGCGGGTGCCAGGTGAGACCCAGGGCGCCCCGCTCACTCGCATTTCAGAATAAAAGTTTTCTAAAGTAGAATAAGTGCGTTCAGCACACTGTCTAGACGACCCAGTCTCCGTATGTCCTAAACTCTTGGCTGCTTCTCTGAAATTCAAACGCGGCTGGGCATCCTGGTTTACTTTCCTCCCAGTCTGGCAACCCCCTGGGCTCTCCCCAGGCCTTGGAGGAAGGCCCTTTATTGGCAGGTAAAACTGGTGAAGGGAGCGGCTCGGGGAGCAAGGGTTGGGGTGCCCAGGACCAAGGCTTCAGGAACTGGAGTCTGAGCACTGCTCAGTCCTGCACTGAGTCCAAACGGTGGGCTGCTGAGCTCTGAAGAGCAGAGCCTGGCCACCCGCAGACCTGCTTTTACGGAACTAGACTGGACTCGTGGGATGTGGAGACATTGGTCTGTCTCAAGGAACTTCCTCAGACACGGCTCGGCTGACACTGTGTTGCTTCTGCACTGTGGCCATTTTTAGGAACATGGTACATTATGCCACAGTGTCCCCTCTGGGGGAGTGCCCAGTGTGGTCTCTGTTCTAATGCTTGTGTGCATCCCACAGACACTGTGACCTGGAGGCCTAAGTGGTTTTCCCTCTCCCATTGGCTGCCAGGAAGCTCAGAGGCACATGAGGCTGCCCTTGGCAGGTGTGGAAGTCATTAACAATCGGGACTCCATTCCCATCCTGGATCCTTTTACGCCCACTTTTCCTGATTTATTCCATTCCTAGGACAGGATCTTGGGGCTCTCATCCCTCCTTTCCTTTGTCATGAGCTTGTCGGCAAGTCCCCAATTCATTTAGTGCCAAGGATGGTGCCTCTGCAGCCAAAGCACTTTCGAGTTCCCTCTCCCCTCGCCTCAACGCACTGGGGCAGACACTTGCTGGTCTTTTCAGTCATTTGTTCAAATATTGGGCAGGGGCTGGGGCTGGACAGGGATTGGAGTGGAGGTGTGCGATGTCCCTGGGGCGTCCTCGGGGTAGCACGGCTGGCATTTATGCTTCACAGGCTCTTACCCTCTGCAAAGACTGAATCTAGTTTGTGTCTGGCTGCCTGAGCAGAACACCTTTCCATACCTGCCGCTGATTCTCTTTGAAGGAACAGTTGCAAGGTGCTGAGTCTTTTGCATTTCTGTTTTCAGGATCCTCTAAATGTTCCTGAGTGAAAACATCATGTGAACAAGAGTGTTTAGTATGTCCTTGCCTGTACCAGTCGGGGACACACCTCTGGCATTTCGGGGAGACGCTGGGATTCGCCGGAAGGGGTGGGCAGAAAGGGGGATGGGTGAGGCCCTTTTTCTTTAGCCTCCCTTTAGCCACACACTGCACCACCCTACCCACGTTTTACCTTCTCATCTTTGAAGGGGGATCGGGGTGGGGGGGAGCCTTGCTGAGTCCCCCAGTCCATTCCAGCCTATACAACATCTGGAATGACCCCGGGATACCTAGGGTCACTCCTTGGTCAAAGACACCCGGGAATACCTGGCCCAGGAGAACCTTGGAAAGTAGCAAGTTCAACAGAATGTGAAGCTGTCGAGTATCGAGTGGCCCTTATTTGCTTAGGGTTTTATAAATGTGCTCTCATCGAATCCAACCTTATGAGCTAGACACTGATCTTTATTGTAAAGACTCGGGATCTGAGCTAACTACATTGGGAGGGGGCTGGGGCTCCAGGCCAGCTGAGACCACCTGGCCAGCTTTGATTGGCTGGAGCCTGGGAGGGGAGCTGGGCGGCTTCTCTGGCTGCAGTGGCCTTTCTCACACTGAAACCCTAAGGAAGGGCTGAGAAAGGGCTGCCGCTTCCCAAAGGGCAACTTCTGTGCATGTCAATGTTTTCTATTGAAAAATTCCGGGCTTAACCCATTCACAAGAAAGTCTCGGCTCTTTCTTGGCCCTGGCCCTGGTTGTATTCACCGAACAGAAAAGAGAGCCTTACAAAGGAGCTGCCGCCGCGTGGGCTCCTCAGCTGGCGGGCAGTTCTCTAAGAAACACAGGAATCGCCCCCCCACCCCGAAGTGCTATTCTCACCCCCAAGGAGTCGGGTAAGGAGTCTGCTGCCTGCCAGAGGCCACTTCCCCCACGGTGCTGGGAAGTAGGTTCTGTTGTCACCGTATTGTGGAGAACACTGAGACACAGGGTGAAGTCACTTGTCACCTGGGACGCTGCTGCCTTAGCTAGACTTGTGCTCCTGCGCAGCCAGGCGTGACCTCGGCTGGCCTCAGCTTCTCCTCTCTGAGGGGCGGCTCGAGGCCTCTCTAGGTTGGGCTGTCCCTGTTACCCTGTCACCTGGAGAGAGCTTGAGGGACATCCCAGAGTTGGGAGGCCCAAGGCCAGGATGTCCTCTGGGAATGTCTGGTGCGGAAGTTTCCCCACATATGACAGCAAGTCTCATTTGCACCGCCAAAGGGAAGGAGACATGTGATTCTGGAAAGTTCTGCTTGGTGAAAAGACGCTTAACATTCAAACTGCATTGATGTGTGTGTGTGTGTGGGGGGGCTGTTTTGAGGCTCCAGGGGAGCAATCCAGTCCATCTTCACGGACAGGTGCTCAGATGTTATCCTGGAGACTTTGAAAGAGCTAAGGCTAGGCTTCTTGTGAAAATATTAAGTGTAGCACTTAAGAAGAAAAAAGTTCTGTTTTCCTCTAATGTGCATTTTAAAGATGCAAGTATGCTCCTAGGTAGGATCTGATGGC